ATTTTCATTATGTCGTAAGTAACATTCGCACCGATCCGAGAAAAATAAAGTTTTGTTTTGATGACCGAAAAGTTATTCCTATTTCCAATTAAACACATATAATCTCATAGTGATAGCAATGTTTAACATATTCAGCCGGGTTTTAATCATACAAAGGCAAATCGCTAGCTTTCATGCTAAGAAATACTGGTTTTTGAGTCAAAAGTTATTATACGTCGTTTGGTGGCCCCTATTGTTACATAAGTCAAAGTGTATTTACCAGGATATTCGGGAGAATTATCAATTACGTCTCCTTACGTGCAGCCCATTCATCATTTTAGGACCACCGAAATCATCTTAGCAACAAACAGTTCGATTTATTCACTTTAATAATGAGAAAGCGAAACGACGAAAGTACACTTTTCACGGGTTTCTCAGTGCTGTTACTTAAGGCAAACGGCATCTCCATAGAAATCGGATGACGTAAGTAACATCGAAAACTATTTTGATCGGAAGGTGATTACGTCAAAAAGCAATTCGACTGGTAAATAAATTTAAAAATGGGATGTGATCCTATATTCGGACCTGGGGGCAAGATAGCTGTACTCAGAGTAAATATATTTGCAGCGAGTAAATTTGAGTTACTCATATTTACTCAAAAATTATCAAAGTAGTCTCGATTTTTTGATCAACGAAAATATCGTCTGACAGCATATTTCGTTTGAAGTATCTGTTCGCTCATTTGAAAGATCTAATCGCTCGTTTAACAAATCGAATTGTGGACAAACGAAATGCTCTTGTGGTGGTTTGACTGCACGACGGTTTTACGAGGCTTGTCGTTCGTGTGTGACTTGGATGCCTTTCAGGCGCCTTCCCTCGTTGGTAAGGATTGACATGGCGTAGGACGATACAGGAGTGACGGGCGTGACCCGTTCCAAAAGGGGAATGCTCCTTTTCGGTAACCTGAGGTACAACCTGAGCTTTAAACGTCCTTCGTGGTCAATAGAATTGGTCCTTGACTGCTGATTGTGGTATATTATGTAGCTGCTGATTCTAGGCCAGATTATGTCAGCTCTGACCAGCTTCGTGGAGTTTGTTAAGGTTCAACAATTAAATTTGTATTCTTGGTTGGAAATGCTAACATGAAGCTTTAGTGTGATGATTTATTAGCTAGAGAATGATCTTTAGAAGAGGGTAGGTGGATAGTTCCGTTAGAGTACGGCAGTATGAAAATTGAATAGAAGTTGAAAATGAGCGAAGGGCCATTAAAGCGACAGTTTTTCAAGATGGACGCACATTTTTGCCTAGCCCGTACGATGTACGCGGGGACTTGAAGTATGTCTCCAAGTCCACAGGCAAAAATGTGCGTCCCTCTTGTTGCTCATAAACTGACTGCGGCTGTGGAATAGTTCTAGCGACGTTTTCATCACTACCTAAAGCCCCACGCTGCGAGAGCATTTCCAGTCCTTAATGGCCCTTCGCTCATTTTCAACTTCTATTCAATTTTCATACTGCCGTACTCTAACGGAACTATCCACCTACCCTCTTCTAAAGATCATTCTCTAGCTAATAAATCATCACACTAAAGCTTCATGTTAGCATTTCCAACCAACTCTGAAAATCGTTAACTTCGCGTATGAAGTAACATAAAAAAAAAAACACTTTGAATGTTTGTATTCTTCTTATTTTTGCAATGTTCTCCAATCATCATTATAAGTATACATTCACAAATTATTAATACAAAAATTTTATACATGTATTTCATGATTTTAGAACGAAAACTTCCCGGCTAAAGCACATTCACTGTATTTACTTAGGTACTTGTGTTCTTACACACAATCGAATACACGAAACTCAAAACTCTTGGTGAATAAAATTGAACACTAAGAAAACCACTTAAGCGCTTTGCAAGCAATCGTAAATGTATCATTGAAAAAGCGTTGCCAGATGTATTGCCTCTAGCAATGAATTAAAGTTTATTAAAACAAGCAATTGTGAAGTTATACTCATTAACATGGGTGAGTGGATGTATTTAATGGTGTATAAATATCGAAGGATATGTCAAAAAGAAGAAGTAAACAAATTATTTATCCTTTGTGGAATCTTAACATTAATAATCATTCCATGGTCAACAACCATAAACAGTGCCGTACCGTTTTTGGAAACACGGCCTCATATGTTTATTTCCTCAATTTTGTCCCCAGAGCACAACATTTCATGAAATATCAAGCGTCTAATACCTGAAGAATGATCGAGTAATCCTATAAATCGAATGGAGCTTTCGTTGAATTTATAGACAGCATAACATGCAAAAATCATTTGCTACCAATAATGGGAAGGCACTGTATTCTTATCTTTTTGAAAATCGTGCAGCATGTACTGTATTATTTTTATATATTTGTGTAAATAACGTTTTCATTGAGTTTCTGGAAGTTTAAAAAACGTGAACTATATTTCTCTAAGAATTGAATTTATTGAATTAATTAAGCCTAATCCGAATTTATCGAACCGCCTCAAAAGTACCTACACTGAAATTCCAAGCAAGCACGTCAACTTAGTTTACTTGACAGCATCAGTTTCAACATTATTTTCAATATAACAATCAGGTTGCTATGTGTATATAAGATATTGAGCAACGTGAGTTACTCAGAGTTACTCAAAATTAACTCCGGTTTTACTCATGATCCAAAGCTGTCTTGCCCCCAGATTCGGACAGTATATAGTGTAATAGCAGGAGCATCGATTGACACTGATAGCTCGACTTTGTTTACCTTTGTTACATTCGACGTAATGAAAATTTGCTCTTGAAATGAAGTCAATCAATCTAGCAAAGCAAGCCTTGCAAACTACGTTGTCAAAGCGCTCGTAAGCAATATATGCTTTTAAACAAGTTTTCACACCTTTTCTGTTCTCAAACAAAAATTTCCGAAGATTTTGATTGAATGCAGCAAATGCTATCAGCCCGATAGCGTGAAGTGTGTTATTTGGGATATCAACGTTTCGTGATGAGGCCCGGGATTTTAATCTAGAAAATCAATAGTCGACGCTTTCAGCTAAGCACGGCACTTTTCGTGAGGCAGTTTGGAAACCCCAATTCCACGAACATAAACCAGCGCGTTGAGCTCCTTTCTCTGTGCAACAAAAGAAGTGTCGAGGTCAAGTTCTTCAACTTCGAATGAAAGTGTGGCTACAGCTTCTTATGTCGTTTTCGTTTTTGCGGTGTAGCTACACCGGTGCTACACTGCCGTACACCGAAATATTTTAGGGTGTAGATATAGAATGCACCTTTGTTTACAAACAAATGATGTTGAGCTGTCAAAGACTCGCGCTTATTCCTGCTTATACCTTGTACAGACATACAAAGTACACTGTTGTACTACCGTTGTATTTCTTTAAGCTAGTACCTCAAATTGTACCTTTTGAGGTACTCGATTAAAGGAGTACAACGGTACTGCTTTGTATGTCTGTCAATGGTATTACACTACACCAGTGCTACACCGCAAAAACGAAAACGACATTAGTAAAGTTCTTCAAGATCGTCTCCATGCAAAAGAGGCTGCAGCCCGTCGTTTTGGCAGTTTTTTCCCTCATCAAATGTTTCGTTTGCAGAAGACAGCATAGCGTATTTGAAGGCACTACTGAACTAATATGCATTTGGGGCATCGTTAAACCCGCAACGTCGCCGAATCTCCGAGAAGAAATTTTCCAGGCAATCCGGACAGAACGGATTCGTACAAACGTATTTACAGTCGTATGTATTCTGTTCTCATTTTTTGAAAAAAAAAAAAAAACAAATCAAAACAAAAAAAAACTTATGACAGGTCAATGAGAGTAGCGTCTAGCGCCATCGGGTTGATTATTGCTACTTGAATATTTCATTTAAATCGACGGTTATGGAATTTTACACAATCTGCCATTTAAGCTTGAATGACGCAACTAATACTAATACTAACACGTGTTTATTAAAACGAATTGAATTCGAACATTTTTAAAAATCGATTTTTTGGTAGAGGAAATTTTCATTCAGTTTTGGCTACATTTAACTTCAAGCTTAGGGTGGCCGTTTTACCCCGTCGTCCTCTACTGGTTTGGTTCTGCAGGTCCAATGAGTGTGTTGATTACGGAATGCATCCGGAAATAGCCAGCTGCATTTTTCATGATCTCCATATCATGAATTTATACTTTCCTTGGATTTAATATTGTAGTTATAATTTTAAATTCAATAAAAAAACATGTGCTTGTATCTGATCTCAAGCTCGGTTTCCTTCGTTGCAGTTAATGAAACAACCTTTGATCTATGCCAAGATGTTTATGATATAAAATTTTCTTTTCGCTTTACGACTTTATTGCTACTAATGGGTAGTTATCACGCATTTATGCACTACGAGTTTAAACGATTCAACACTGAATACGATCGAGCACTCTAATGCATACGATCTTCATATTAATCATATCACGGCGGTGTGGTGACGCGAACTTGGGTCGCAGAGCTCACACACGTGTTTCCTTATTGTGTGTGGTTCACTTTCAGCGTTACTTTCCAACGATTGACTGTTATGCATGAAGGCATTCGTTATTTGCGAATTTTAAAATTTGTTGAACCTACTAGCTAGTTAGTGCACCCAACCGGGAAATGCTAGATGACATTTGCATTTTTTTATAGAACGATTCTCCGCATACCTATGTAATCGCCTGAGGGCATTTCAATAAAATTGGATTTTTTTTTAGTACTTGCCACTTTTTTTTGGGTGTGCAGATATTGTGACTGTTTCGATGGGGACCGGAAACATGATGATTCCCAAACGTGACGTCTTACTTGGGAGAGTAAACAATCTCGCTAATATGTGCTTATTAAGCAGATCAAAGATAACCCATGCCATACGGTTCTCATGTAGTTAAACAACAGTAATGTGTCGTTGCTGGAGATGGATTCAATTTGTTTGTTTATGAGACTGTCTCGACTTGAGTGAATTCGAATTAATTTACTCTCCATTCTCCTTCTCTCTCCCCAAAAACCCCAGCAACGGCAGCTGGACGAGCCGACGGTGAGCAACTTATGGAACTATCTGGCCTTTGTGGCATTCGTCGTCGTATCGGCGCTGATTCCGATCCGCAAGCGGCTATGCAGTCGAAAGGTGAAAACCAAGGAGGACTACGTCTTCGGAGCCGGTCACATTTCCCGACTGGCGATGATGCTATCGATTGCACGTGGCACCCTCGGTGTCATCTCGGTGCTCGGCTATCCGAGCGAGTTCTTCTACCGGGGGACGGCCATGTGGGAAACGCTCTACGGCATGGTGACGGCCTATCCGATCGTGTGCTTTGTGTTCATACCGGTGTATTTCGATTTGGGAATCACGTCGGTTTATCAGTACCTGGAGCTGAGGTATGTAAGCAAGGGCGCGCGCGAGCGATTGAAATCGATTTGCTAATAATATTCTTAATTCCTAGGTTCAACAGTCGACTGGTGCGATGTCTTGCCTCGGGAACGTACATTCTCCGTACTCTGCTCAGCCTGGGTGTCACCATCTACACGCCGACAGTGGCGCTGAATACCATCATTGGAGTCCCATACTGGGCTTCGCTCCTCTGTATCACCTGCATCAGTATATTCTTCAACGCTCTCGGTGGCATGAAGGCAGCCGTCGCAGCTGACGTCATTCAGAGTCTTAGTATGACGGCAATGTTGGTCGGAATCGTAATCTACTGTAGCATCAAAAGCGGTGGAATAGATCAGATAATCGCAATCGGAGCACAGAACGGACGCATGAACTTCTTCAACTTTGCGGCCGACTTGCACATCCGAGTGACAACCACCTCAGCTTGGCTTGGCGAACTCTTCATGTCCCTCAGTCTGCTGGGATGTCAGCAAAACTTCGTCCAACGATATCTGAGCATGCCGACTCTGTGCAAAATTCGTCAAACCATGCTGATCAATATACCTCTTGTCATCGTTCTCTTCTCGCTTCCCTGGCTAGTGGGAATGTGCATCTTCGCGCTGTATCACAGTTGTGACCCTTTGAAATCCGGTAGCATCGAAAAGATGGATCAAATACTGCCCTACTTCATAATGGACTACTTTGTCAAAGTCCCCGGAGTTTGGGGTCTCTTCGTTGGAACGCTTTTCAACGGTGCCCTCACCCTGAACATATCCAACATTAACTCCCTCGCGACGGTCACATGGGAAGACTTCCTCTCACTTCTTCCAGGATTCCGCAAAAAGTCCGACAGCTACCAGTTGACCGTAATCAAACTGGTCGGCACCATCTACGCCATCCTGATCCTAGGCGTGGGCTTCCTCGTCGGACTACTATCCGGAGTCATTGAATCGTCAGTCCTGGTACTGTCGGCCACTTCGGGGCCCCTTCTGGGGGTCTTCATCCTCGCCATGTTCGTGCCATTTGCCAACTGGAAAGGAGCCGCCCTCGGGATGATGGTGTCCCATGCTGTGACCGTTTGGATCGTTACCGGCCGAATGATGTACGTCGAAGTGTACGATTCACTACTGCCAACTTCGATCGAAGGTTGCGTCAACGAAGGGCAGGTTCTCGCCAACAGTACCTCCTACATCATTGTGGATCAAATCAGTAGGTTCGGGGCCTCACAAGCCCCCGAAGATTCGTTCCTCTATCGGATCTACTCCGTGTCGTACATGTACTACGGGGTGTTCGGTACCATTTTGACAGTAGCCGTGGGTATAGTGTTCAGTTTAGCCACCTGGAGCAGCGTGGATGTGTACAACTCGAAGATGCTGCATCCGACGGTGCGGTGGCTGCACGAGCGATCACCCTTCGGGGGCAAGCTATTCGGGTCGTTCGATGTGAGCAAAAGTGACAAACTGCCACAGGCCCGGGTAGGGCAGGGTGTCGCGACGGAGAAGATTTGCGGGAATAGTTGATAGTTTATAGTTGAATGCTGATAGAAAGATGACAAACGTGTAGATGTAAGCTTGTAAATAGCAATAAATGTTGAGAGTATTTAATTAATCTATGGCAACGATTATGGTTAATGTCCGAATGTCCTTGATTGTTTTTATTCTGTGGAAATGAAATAACTCAAAGTGTCTGAGTGACGACAAGCCAACATTGTAACAATCGGTTATCGGTCAACGGATAGGAAAAATTATTTCAATGCATTTACAAACATAAACGTCATTGATTCCAATCTATCAGAAAATCTGTCAAATGGAAGTCGAAACAATGCTAAGAAGAAGATCTCTATACTGACAATCTGAGTGGTGCGGAATCGATCACTTTAAAATTTTCAAATCATGAAAGTTCTTAAGCAAGTTAAAACAGTCAAATGTGAATATCTTCTTCTTCGCATTTCAAGCTTATTGCATATCGCATATTAGCTTATTGCGTGCTCTCAACTTAGTGTTCTAGATGCACTTCCACAGTTATTAATTGAGAGCTTTCGATGCCTGTACCATTTTTGCATTGGTATAATTGTGTGGCAAGTCCAACCATACACTTCTATGCCCAGGGAAGTCGAGAAATTTTCCAACCCGAAAAATTCCTAGACCGGACCGGGAATTGAACCCAGCCACCTCCAGCATGGTCTTGCTTTGTAGCTGCGCCTTTACCGACTGAGCTAAGGGAGGTCTGAAATATCTATGAACTTCATCAAACTCCAGGAAAAGCCCCAATCCATTTCTACGAATATTCTTGAACATCTTAGAGGTTCCCTGAATTCAACGTTCCCTAAACTTCCAGGAAGTTAATTGAGCTTTGTTGAAGGAAGACAACCTGCTTCAAAGTTCCCCAAAGGCAAATTTGAAAATCATAGAATTTTGCTGAACTTCTACAATTTTATGTGATCTTCTGCGAAGTTCTCTTGCATATCTATGAAGTTTTTCGCTGTTTCTCGAATCGCTACGTAATTCGTTAAACTTCTACAAAAGTTTGCTGCACTTCTACATTTCTCGTTGATTTTCCGCGTTGTTTCCTGATATCACAATGTTTCTGAACTTCTACGGAATTTCCTGAACTATGACCCGATTTGGTCTATTTTTTTCATAACATCCATCTTGAAGATGAATGAGAAAGATTTGAAATTAAGCTCATGTGAAATTATTGACAGATGCGTGGAGCGACTGCCAAAATGAGGTTATTAATTTATTCCAAATTCATTGAATTCAACGCAGCACCCTGAAATTTAGCGAAAGTCTCCGAACATTTATGTGGTTCCCTGCAATAATACAATGTTCCCTTAACTTCTACAAACCTGTAAAATGTTTACACTTCTTAGAAAATTTCCTAAAATTCTACGATGTTTCCGAGGTTCAACAATGTTCCCTGAACTTCTAAGAAACAATTATGGAAAAAATCAAGAAAATCCAAAATCAGCAACGGTTGAAAATCACTGCTGATCTTGAGATCAGCAAAATCACAAACAGAAAATCAAGGCTGATTTTAACCTTAACTGATTTTGAGGTAACAAAAACCCAAACGGAAAATCAATAGCTTGGTATTACAGTCAACGTAAAAAACCGACATCAACCGCCATTTTGGAATTCAAGGTGGCGGACCAAAATCCAATATGGCGGCCCCGGACAAGGAATATTCATCTAAATCCATGCAATATGGGTATCTACGGAATGGGCTCGATGAGTGGAAGTGGAAAATTGACATCCGCCGCCATTTTGAAATCCAAGATGACGGACCAAATTCCAATAGGTGGCCCCGGACAGGGAATATTCCTCTCAATTCATGCAATATGGGTATCTACGGAATGTTTTTTTTTTTTTTTTAATTCTTTATTTAAGAGATTTTTAGCCTTAGGCTAGTTCATCTCTATATCTACGGAATGGGCTCGATGCATGAAAGTATAAAAATGACATCCGCTGCAATTTTCCAATCCAACATGGCGGACCAAAATCCAATATGGTGGCCCCCGGACACGGAATATTCATCTAAACCCAAGTAATAAGGGTATCTACGGAATTGGCACGATTGGATTCCAAAATGGCGGTGGATGTCAATTTTCCACTTCCCTTCATCGAACCCATTCCGTAGATACCCATATTGCATGGGTTTAGATGCATATTCCCTGTCCGGGGGCCGCCATATTTGATTTTGGTCCGCCATCTTGAATTCCGAAATGGCGGCGGATGTCAATTTTCCACTTCCACTTAGCGAGCCTATTCCGCAGATACCCATAGTGTATAGGGTTAGATGCATATTGGTACCTTAGGTTTTAGGTGATATTGATCTTGAGAGATTGCTGATTTTGATTTTCTGATCTTGATTTTAGCCAACACTGCTAAGAAGTCCCTAATGTTTACGAAGTTATAGAAAATCATTGGACTTCATAGAATATCTCTAAATTTCAACAAACATAAATGAAGTTCAACAAAGTTCAACAGAAACGGCGCCGGTGGTGTAGTGGTAAGCGTGATTACCTCTCACCTCAGCAGGCCTGGGTTCCATCCCAGTCGGCGCCGCCGAGATGT